TGATTACATGACGCACCATGGTGACACGTGCTATTATAGAAGGATATAATAATCCACAGAATGGATTGCAATGAACAGTGTTGGAGTAATGATAGTCATTTGGGCATGGACAAAACTGCATCCATATCTTACACCATAGAAGAAAAAAGTCCAACTGGATGAGTGATCTGAGTGTAAAATATTCAGCTGCACAGAAAATAAACAAACAAACAAAAGCCATCGGAGAATTTCCCTATAACCCACGTGGGGAAAAGTTTCTAACTATGACTCCAAATACAGACGTTGGGACCCTTTCAGCCAAGATGAACAAGGACTGGATTTACCCGCCCTCCTGAAAGGACACCAAAAACCAGACTAGACAAAGCTGTGGTCTCCAAGACGCTGATCTTGAAGCAGTGATCACGGACGGTAATCAGAGAGACAGGAAATAAACATGGTGAGGCCTGTGGTTACTGCCTTCAGAGTTTCCAGGCCTGGAGCAGGGAGGGAAAACCGAGACAGAGGTGAGGAAGGTTGACAAACTCAGGGAACAGGTAGGACAGTATTACCCTACAGAATATCACCAACCACCCGAAGTGGGCCCAGTGCGGACACAGGTGTTACCAGCGCCAGCGCACAATGCAACCGTTTATAAGGGGATTCTGGATGCTCCAAATACCTGAGCAGGAACAGGGGGGGGATATAAAAAAAATAGACTGAACTTCTGCACATAAAAGCTAGAGCATCTGAGATGAAAATTACAGCAGACTAGATGAATTCACTGCTGAAAAAACGATCAGTCAACTCCAAGCACAGCAAGAGAAGCTTACAGAAGATGAAGCACACAGAGAAAACAGGATTTGGAGAGAATGAACTGTCAGCGAGAAAAACAGGATGTGGAGAGAATGAAGAGCGTCAGCAAGCTGTGGGACAATTTAAAGTGGCGGAACATACAGGTAGGAGGAATCCCTGAAAGGTGGACGAACGGGGGAGTTGGGGGGAATAGCTGAGGAAATATGATTAAAAATCTCCCAACGCTGCTGAAAATCATAAACACACAGATCCAAGAAGTTCAATGATCCCCACGCACAAAGACATAAAGAAAACAAAACCAAGATCGATCACAATCAAACTGCTCAAAACCAGAAATAAAGAGAAAAGTGTACGGGCACCTGGGTGACTCAGTTGGCTAAGAGTCTGGCTCTTGATCTCAGCTCAGGTCATGATCTCCCAGATTGTGAGTTCGAGCCCCATACTGGGCTCTGTGCTGACAGCGTAGAGCCTGTTTGGGATCCTGTCTCTCTCTCTCTCTGCCCCTTCAACTCCCTTCTCAAAAAATAAATAAATAAAAACTTAAAAAACTTAAAAGCAGCAAGAGGGGGAAAAAAAAACCCCAAAAAACAGGTTATATACAGAGAAGGAAGGTGAGGATGACGTCACATTTCTCTTGGAAACAACGTAAGCAAGAAGACAGCAGAGGAACAGGTTTGAAGCACAGAAGGAACAAACCCAGCAAGGCTCCCCTGAAATAAAAGCCAACACAAAATAAAGGCATTTTCAGACATACAAGGGCTGAAAGAATTCATCATCAACTAGAAGAAGAGATGACGAAAGTCCTTCAGGAGGAAGGAAAAGTGACAGCAGATAAAGATCTAGATCTACGTGAAGGAAAGAAGAGTACCAGAAACGGTAACTATGCTACTTTTCCTTATTTTTTAAAAGATAGCTGTTTACGTAAAAATCACAATGTACTGTCAGACTGATTCTGCCCGCAAAAGCAAAATGCAACAATAGTGTAATGACCTAGAAGTGAGAAATGGGAGGGACCATTAGCTTCCTACACTCTTGAGATCCTGACCTGAGTTGAAGTTGGATGCTTAACTGAGCCACTCAGGGGCCCCAAGCTTCCCACATTCTAAGCGAAAGGGAACACCACTTCAGGAGAAACTGTGAGGAGTTAAAGCTGGATACTATAAACCCCAGAGCACCCGCTGAAATAACAACAGTGCCATAGCCAACAACCCCACAGAGAACGTGAAATGGAATTTAAAAGAAAAAAATGCAATCAATAGGAAGGAAGACAAAGAAGAAAAAGGAGACAAAACCAATGGGACAACTAGAGATCAAAGCCAAGAGACTACCAAGCTGTCAGCGCAGAGGTGAACATGGGGCTCGATCTCCGTAACCACGAGATCACAACCTGAGGCAAAATCAAGAGATGGATGCTTTACCGGAAATTAAAAACTGCTATAAAGGAAATTACTGGGAAAACTGAAAACTGGTTAAATCAGAAGGTGAATTGTAGATTAGATAAAAATATTGTATCAAAGTCACATTTCCCAAATTCAGCATCTTTGATCTTAGGAAGTATAAGCTGAAAAGGGACATAAAGATAACATCCACGCTCAAATGGTTCAGAAAAAAATATGTATATACACAGAACGATAACAAAGCAAATGTGGGAAAATGTCAAAAACTGGAGTATCTGGCAAAAGGAACATGGGAGTTCTTTGTACAATCCTTGCAACTGTGGTGAAATTTCAAGGTTTTTTTTTCCAAAATAAAATGCTGAATAAAAACGAAAGCTATCAAAATAGAGGATGTTTCAAAAGACTCAGAAACCAATCTGAAGGGAGTCCTCTGGTCAAAGATAGATCCACCTGGACACCAAAGAGAGTGGCAGCTTCGATGTCCTGAAAACCTTAAAATATGTCTAAACCAGTGAGCTCATCATGATAACAAAAGGAAACACACAAACAAAATTCCTGTTGCACAGAAGCCTACTCAATATTGTGAAAATTATCTTTTCTGTAGGAAACACAGAATCAACCTGAAAGGTGCTTTCCTTTAGAAAAATATTCTCGCTGGTAAATGAAGAAGAAATGGTAAAGCAGCGGATCACCATCTTGTCTCCCCTAAAGAACTAGTGGATCTTGGCAATGAACATCAGCCAATGGAGGCTACCATCACACAAGACGGGAATAGAACACGGCCTCCAGGAGAAAGTAGACAAGTGTCACAAGCAACAAAGTCTTGCCAAAAGAACTGAACGTAAGTGGGTAAACTTCCTAAGCTAATAACTGATTTTACAAGACATACTGGGAATTAAAAAAAAAAGAAAAGAAAAGAAAAAAAAGTGTGAAAGTTAAAATGATGGCAATGTGATCCAGACCATGGGAAACTAAGCCCAATTTCTTCAAAACAGAAATTGCAAAGTAACACAAGAGACAGACAGGGGAAGCTCCTATTAAAAGATTTAAAAGACAGGGCGCCTGGCTGGCTCTGTCGGTTGAACGCTTGACTCCTGGTCTTGGCTCAGGTCACGATCTCGATCACGGGATCTCATGGGATTGAGTCCCACATGGGCTCTACACTGACAGGACGGAGCCTGCTTGGGATTCTCTCTCTCCCCCTCTCGCTCTGCCCTTGCCCCACTCAAGATCTTTCTCGTTCTCTCCCTCTCTCTTTCTTTCTCACAAAAATAAATGGATAAACATTAAAAAAAATTTAGGGGCACCTGAGTGGCTCAACCAGTTAAGAGTCCGACTTTGGCTCAGGTCATGATCTCACGGTTCATGAGTTCAAGCCCTGTGGGGGGCTCTGTGATGACAGCTCAGAGCCTGGAGCCTGCTTCAGATTCTGTGTCTCCCTCTCACTGACCCTCACCTCTCACACTCTGTCTCTCTCCCTGTCAAAAATAAACACTTAAAAAAAATTTTTTTAAGACTTATCAACCAACCACAATGTGTGTACCCTTATGTGTATACTGGTCGAAAAGAACGAACCCAAAACATTCAGAAAACTGTGAACCTCTGAACACCAGTTTTTATAGATTAACAAAGACAGGTAATGTGGATTATCCTCTTTAAAAGACTCCTGATCAGCTCCAGGTATTTACAGAAATACTTCAGGTGAACTGTTTTAAAGGCCAAGAAATGAGAGACTTTGTGGAGAAAATACCAGTTTGGAAGTAATATGTCAAAGGCAGATGCATAGGCATGTGAGGTAAGGGCTGGAAAATGTCCAATGGATTTGACTGTAACGAGGTCAATGCTAATCTTTACCAACACATTCAAGAGAGTGGTGAGGACAAAACCAAGAAGCTGAGGATTGAAACGGAAACAGAAGTGAGGACGTATTTACCAGAGAACACTTTCCTGTACTATTTACTGAACAACCCAAATAATCCTTCAGAAGCATCTGAAGGATGAGCAGGCCACTTCCTCAGGATTTAGCTTTCATCCCTGGATTAAACAGCAGCAATGAACATATGTCTCGGATCACAGTATTTTGGTGCCTAGAAAAATCACACACTCACACACACCAAGATCTCCCTGGGCAGCAGGCCCTCAGCTCAGAGAAGCAACAAGTATAAGCCACATGTTACAATGACATTAATGGCTGTTAATAGGAAACCTATCCCTGTTATATTAATTTTAACAAGGAAATTTTTTTCAAGTCTTAGGAAATCTTTAAAATCGACAAGTAACAAAACTGGGTTCTTCTTATGGTCAATACAAATCACATAATGGGAGGTATCCTTCTTTTTTTCTGTCAGAACGTGTTACATTTGTAGTTGTAGGGGCGCTTGGGGGCCCCAGTCAGTTAAGCATCCAACTTTGGCTCAGGTCATGATCTCGCCGTTGGTGGGTTTGAGCCCCACATTGGGCTCTTTGCTGACCACATGGCCTGGGGCCTACTTCAGATTCTCTCTCTCCCTCTCTCTCTGCCCTTCCCCTGCTCAAGGTCTGTCTCTCTCTCTCTCTCAAAAATAAACATTAAAACAAAAAAAATTTTTAAAGTATTTGTAGCTCTACCCCACAGCCCTGAAGTATCTATCTACACCCATGAACTTGAGAAAAACTCTGGGTGCCAATCTGACATCCTAACAACTGTATTTTACACAATGATGCCTTTTATTTATTTCTACATTCCCACTGTAAAATCTAGATCCATATACACTTCCTAAAATGCATTACAAAAACAAGTAAGAGAATATATACAGACATAGGAAAACTCACCTGGGATTCATTCATTTTCTACTGCTCTTGGAAAAACGTACAGACTGCTAACAGTGAACCTAGGGGAAGGAAGAAATAACAGAAGTCATGGGTAATTTGGCCTGCCCACACAGTAGCATCTTTCATAGTAGCCGCCCAAGTAAAGCTCATAAAATGACACCCTGTGAACACTCACAAGGGGCTAAAAATGTTTTTTATGTTTATTTATTTTTGAGAGACAGAGGGGGGGGGGGGGGGGGGGGTAGAGAGAGAAGGAGACACAGAATCCAAAGCAGGCTCCAGGCTCTGAGCTGTCAGCACAGAGCAGGACACAGGGCTTGAACTCACAGACACTGAGATCATGACCTGAGTTGAAGTTGGATGCTTGGTGAATGAGGCCATCCAGGCGCCTCACAGGAGATGTTTAGATGGTTTACCCTCCTTGGTTAATATATTCACATCCTTTTCAAATAGTTTCCTTCATTAAATTAATGTTGCCCCCCAAAAATCTCCTTACACCGTTTACAAATTTTCTTTACTGTCTCTTCAAATTGCTTAAAATCAGAGTATTCACAGGGACAGAGAACATGAGCTCTCCAAAATGGGATGGATGTGCATCAAGGCACGATTCTGTTTTTAAATTATCTAACTGAACTAGGTTATCACTGCACCTAAGAATCTTCTATCAAGAAAACTTTAACAGAGTGGACACACTCTGGCCCAGGAGTTGAATCCCGTCCACAATCCCATCCACAGACCTGGTCACCCTAGACGAGCCACCTTCCATCTCAGTCCCAACCTCCTCCTCGGTCACCCCAGCGGCGGCAGCAGCAAACCCTCGCAGACGTATCCTGCACTACGTTGTCGGATGTCACAGGGCAGAGCCCAGCGCGGTCAGCACACACTTAGAGCAGACAGCACAGGTGCTCGGGAGCGTTTAGAGACGCGCTTGGGAGTCGGAGTGATAGGGGGGAGCAAGGGGTATTGGGAGTGGAGAAAGGAGCGGACACACAACGTCCGCAGCCCACGCGGCGACCCCTACGCTCCCAGGAAACCTGGGCCCCACGAGTCCCGGGGGAGCGCCCACCCCTTCCTGGCCACCCAATCGCGCCCTCGGCCTGCGGCCCGGCCCACAAGATCTACAACTGCCTGGAGACCCTAAAGCCCACGACCTACCTACCTGGTCGGGACCCGCTGAGCTACCCTGAGATTTCCGAGGGGTGCGGTGCGGGCGCTGCTCCTCCTGCACCTCCCGCGGCCGCCGTTCCCCAGGGGCCGGCTCTCTGGGCCTCCGGGACAAGCTCACTTAGGGCCGACGACCCTCCTGGGGCCCAAATCGGCCTCCCAGGGTCTCGCCGTCCCGCGGGCCTCGGCCGGGCCGCCGCGGGTGCAGACGAGCCGGGTCCGAACCTGCCGCCCTGCGCCGCCGCCGCCGCCGCCGCCCGGCCCCTCCGGCCCAGCCCGCGGGCTCTCGGGCTCCCGCTCGGAGGTCTCTGCTCGAGCCTCCGCCCGGCCCACACAGCCCCGCGCCCGCTGGGTGTCGGCCCGGACGGACGGCCTGCAGCCCCGCAAGCCCAAGAATCTTCGCCCACCGGAGGCCTAAGCCTGGGAACCACTGCCAGCGGTGACCTGGGCACGGACAGGAAGCGAGAGCGGAGCGGGGGCACTGCGCGTGCGCGAACACGCACACAGGGCGAGTTGCACATGCGCCGGACTACGCCGCCGGTGCGCTTGCCGGAGTCCATCTCCGGAGCGGGACCGGTACCTGGACTCTGTTTCCCATAAGTCTTAGCGCCCACAGGTTAGGGGGCGTCTCGAATCTCTCTACCCCATCTGGTGCTTAAGAGGCGCTGTGTGCAGGGGATTGAGCGCCTGGACCTGGACCTGGGACCCGATTTCCCATTTGTCTTCGCTCCTGTTAGGGATCAAAGGAAGGTGTCGGCTGCAGTAGTGGGCTGTGTTTACGTCCTGGTACCCTGGTCCTTTACTTACCCTGAGATCTTTCCTGTTGACACTGAGATTCGCCACGAACAGGAAGAGACAAGGAAAGGGTGTACCATGTGCACGTCACTGAAATCTACGAGTCACTGAAATCTACGAAGAGTCACTGAAATCCTGGTATTCAATTAATACCCAGCCATGACATAAATATTACCATGGGCATATGGTTTTTCCAAGAGGGAGAAAGAAATAGAAAATGTAGCTTGTCCAGATTGCACAACTAACGCGTAAAGACCCCAAAAACAATCAGAAAACACACACAAACTGAAAAAAAGATACCTGAGATCTTACCTGTCAAAGAGAGTTAGGTTTGTTTTAGGTTAAAATGTCATTTTTCAAAAATGGGATCATAAGGACTATGATTTATCGCTATTTTTTGGTGAAATTATATAACCATGTTTTTGGCCAGTTGTTACCTCTTTTAAAGGTAGTAATAAGTACTGATTCATGTAAATGAATGGACACATAACCCACTCCTGATTTCCCTGGCTGAGCTGTCACCTCAAACTAATCCTGCACAAAATGTGGGCAGTGGCTACGTAGCCAGGAAGCATCTTGTGAAGCTCTTGCTGCTATTAAGTGTGGCCTATACCTTAATTCTCACCAGTTGGATGCTGGAATTCAAGCAAGGTAACCACACCTCACCTGGGCCTGAGCCAGGAGGACCGCTAGGTGCATATCTTCTGTGTTCTTTTCCGTTTTCACCAGGTAAAGGATGGAAGCTTCGCCGAGTGCCTTGGTGAAGACAAGCAGAGCGCCCGTCTGCCTGGCCCAGCTTCTGACTCTCAACTCCCCTACATGCACTGAGCGGCTCAGCTGAAGACTGGGATGCCCTTCTTCCTCTCTCCACCCTGGTTCTCTGCCTGTGAACCCTGGCTGTTGTGGGCCCCCCAACACCCAACTCTGTCCCTGCAACTCAGAGACATGCTGGGATCCCCCAGCCCCCCTACCCTGTACCTTGGCCTGGACACTCTCTAGGCAGTGAACTGGACACTCTCTCTAAATGGCTAAAAGCTGTCATTTCATATATCATATATTTCCTCCTTCTAAAAATGTACTAAGCTGGGAGGGCAAATTCTGTCTGGGCCAGAAGCATCACAGGACCGCCTTTCAATGTGGCTTCATTAAGATCTCTTCACTTATTTGTGTTGACAATATAAAGCTTTCACTTTTGGGGTGGGGACGCCTGAGGGGCTCAGTTAGTTAAGTGTCCGACCCTTGATTTTGGCTCAAGTCATGATCTCACAGTTCATGGGATAGAGCCCCACGTGGTGCTCTGTGCTGACAGTGCAGAGTCTGCTTGGGATTCTTTCTCTCTCCCTCTCTGCCACACACACACACACACACTCTCTCTCTCTCTCTCTCTCTCTCTCTCTCAGAATATTTAAAAAATAAATCCTTCTCTTTTTGTATTTGTGTAAAATAGAAATATTTCCCCAATTCATCATCAATCTTCCTAACTTAATCTTTTACTTTCATTTTCTATCACATGGACATTATTTTTGGTGTTTAAATCGTTCAGGCTCCTTCACACTTCTCATATATTGACATTGTACTTGAAGAAGACTTTCCCATCCTTACTTTTCTAAGTAGTGGCCTGTGTTTGTTCCTGTGTGTTTTTCCCCCTCACTTTAATGCATCGATTTTATTAAGATAACCAACATCCGTCTTCAAGATTTGTAAATACTTCTTAAAGTCTTTCAACTATTTTTTCCCCAAACTGACACATTCACTGTGACCAGGAAATGTGAGAGGCTAAGAAGAAAGCTCAAGTTTCTCATCTGTATGAAAGAATGGGTTCTTTTCTGGAGCCTCGGGACATGCCTTGCTTTAATGGAAGGGTCACCAGAAGTGTTCAGGAAATTGACTCTCAAATCTGAATTCCCTCTTATTCAAAATACTGGTTGGACCAGTTTACAGGGAAGCTGTAATGAAGTAGGACCAACCAGGCAGCTTTAACAACAGAAGTGCATTGTCCCGGTTCTGGAGGCTGGGAGTCTGAGATCCAGGCATGGGCAAGGCTGGTTCCCTCCTCCGAGGGCAGTGGGGGCAGGTGTGTCGCATCCTCTCTCCTTGGCTTGTAGGTGACCATCTTCTCTCCATGTGTCATCACATTGTCTTCCCTCTACTTCAGTGTCTCTGCATCCAAATTTCCCCTTTCTGTAAGGATGCCACCCATATTGAATTAGTGCCCATCCTACTAATGGCTTCATTTTTTAAAAACTTGATTTCCTCTGTAAAAACCCAACCACCAAATAAGGTCACATTCTGAGGTGCCAAGAGGTTAGGACTGCAACACATGAACGGGGTGGTGGGGATAGGGGCACACAATTCAACCCATGGCATTCATGTGCCCGGTCAAGTCAAATTTGCTATGACTGCTTTGTCTCTGCTTTGTTTATGTTATGGAAGGGCCCTTACAGATCACCTTACCTAAGTCTTTTATTTTATAAATGAAGAAATAGGGGCTTGGAAGGAGGAAGGATTTGCCCAAGGGCACATATTAGTTTATGACAGAGCCACTACTTTCCCATTTTCCCCGTCCCCATCTTTTGATAGGCATATCATACTTACTGGTTTATGTCCTCCAGACTGTCTTTCATCAGGAGTCTGGGCAGATGAAGAAGGGGACAGAATGAACGGGATATAGGACTTGAATCAGAGCAGTCGAGGTGAAACCTGTTGTCCTGCTTATCTTTTGGGTTTCACATCTTTTGGGTTTCACATCCCTTGTTTCTAAAAGACAAATCTCAGGGGCACCTGGGTGGCTGAGCTGGTTAAGCGTTTGACTCTTAATTTCAGCTCAGGTCATGATCTCACAGTTCGTGAGTTCAGGCCCTGTGGTGAGCTCTGCACTGATAGCATGGAGCCTGCCTAGTATTCTCTCTCTCCCTCTCTCTTCCCCTCCCTGCTTCTCTTTCAAATAAATTAATTAAAAAAAAAAAAGACAAATCCCAGAACACTGCCTTTTCAACTCAACAAAGAAAATGAGATAATCCTCCTGAAAATATCTTCTAAAGGATAAATCTTTATCTCAAAACAAGATTTGAAAACATAAATGGGCACATTGGTGTGTAGACAACATTTTATAACACTTAAAAGACACAATGATATCAGACTAAAACTAACCTGATTTTAGGACCCACTGAGAGTGTGTCAGCCATGCTGGAGGGGAGTATAAAAGATAAAGGCCATGATTTGCCTTTAATGATGAGCATCTGACACCAGATCTTAGAGGTAGTATCAAGAACTGCTTCCCATCTCCCCAGTCTGGACACTCTGAGTCATCTTCCTAGAGGTTTCTCTATGTCTTACACGTCACAGGAGGGAAGTACAGAGAGCATCACTCACTAGGGAATGACAGGCCGGGGTGAGCAGCCCCTGGCGAGATAGGATTTTCTAGTTGAGGGCAGTTTTCTCACCCGTACATGCACAGTCACTCGGGATGAACTCTGCTCGTGGGTCTATGTATCCAAATCGGCACCCAGCCTGCTAGACAGGCTGTCACTGGTAAGCTGGCCAGAGGACTGAAGGTTGGTTCTGAAGATCCACTCAGCCTTGGACTCAAGGCCTGGCCACGGTTTGGACACATCAGGTCCAGATCATAGTTTATTTCATCCAATAGTGGCTTTGCTTTCTTTAGGACCCCCATTGCTCTGCGGCGCCTGGGTGGCTCAGTCAGCTAAACATCCTACACTTGATATTGTGATCTCACTGTCATGGGATCAAGCCCTATGTTGGGTTCTGCCCTGAGTGTGGAGCTTGCTTGAGATTCTCTGTCTGCCCCTCCCCCCCACCAAATAAATAAACATTTTTTAAAAAAAGGACCCCTATTGCCCTGACCTGGGTGGCATGTTCCACAGAGAGATTTCCAAATCTGAATGTGCATCAGTAAATAAGTTAGGTGCACCTGGATGGCTCAGTCAGTTAAACGACTCTTATTTTTTTTAATTTTTTAGATGTTTTTTATTTATTTCTGAGAGAGAGAGAGACAATGTGAGCAGGGGAGGGTCAGAGAGAGAAGGAGACACAGAATCCAAAACAGGCTCCGGGCTTTGATCTGGCTGTCAGCACAGAGCCTGACGCAGGGCTTGAACCCAGGAGCCATGAGATCATGACCTGAGCCAAAGCCGGACGTTTAACTGACTGAGCCACCCAGGTGCCCCATGACTGATTCTTGATTTCGCCTCAGGTCATGATCTCATGGTTCATGAGTTTGAACCCAACATCGCACTCTGTACTGATGGTGCAGGGCCTACTTGGGAATCTCTTTCCCCCTCTCCCTCTCTCTCTGCCCCTTCAGAGCTCTCTCTCTCAAAATAAATAAACTTTAAAAAATGAAATAAAAAATAAGCTAAATTGGGCCCTACCCCAGTTCTGCTGAGCTAGAGCCAATGAGGCTGGATCCCGGTATCTGCATTTCAATTACTTTCTCCATGTGATCCTCATGCCAGAAGGATGGGATTTGCAGACTTCTGTTTCATCCTATAGTCTCGCTACAGCCATTGTTATATGACACCGTCTCTGAGGGAGGAAGAGGCAGAAGAGAGGTGATAGTTTGCTTTTCCCCCGTCTGAGCTGCTTAGTCCACTTTTGGGCAATGTACCCACAGCATGTCTTAGGATGGGCTCTGCCTAACTGTGGCACATCCGGACAAGGTGGGGGGCTTGGGGAAGAAAGGACTATGCAAAGCATCTTGAGGAATCCCCCTCTTCAAAGTAATCCGGGCTTTCTTGGCACAGAAGATATATTTTAATAGGGACAGAATATCTGCCTTCTAATATTGGAAAGCTTCACTGGGAGGAAGAGCGGACTTCTGTTTTGTTATGGAAGTACACAATCAGCTATGATGGCTGAAAGCATCATGAATGAATTAAAAAAAATTTTTTTAATGTTTTATTTATTTTTGAGAGAGAGACAGACAGAGAGACAGAGCATGAGCAGGGGAGGGGACAGAGGCAGAGAGGGAGACACAGAATCTGAAGCAGGCTCCAGGCCCCGTCAGCAGGCTCCAGGCCCCGTCAGCAGGCTCCAGGCCCTGCCTCCAGGCTCTGTCAGCACAGAGCCCAACACGGGGCTCGAACTCATGGACTGTAATATCGTGACCTGAGCCGAAGTCAGATGCTCAACTGACTGAGCCACCCAGGTGCCCCATGAATGAAATTTAAATGCATATTGGCTTCCTAGCACTTGAACTTCTCCAGGGATGAGTCACGTGTCCTTCACACGGCAGTGCCTTTTCCACCAGTGGGAACCCCTGGGAGGGTTCTGGGCCCAAGGATGCTGCGCTGGAACCCCAAGGCTGCCTGCATGCTCTCTGAGACCTCGTCTTAAGTCTGAAAGTTGATGACTGCAAACAAAGGAGACACTCAGTCCCTGTGCATTGGGTCAACTACTGTCTAAAGATTTCAGCATTATTCAGGCATAACTGACATATAAAATGAAAAGATATTTGAAGTGTACACCATGGTGATTTGATATATGTATTCACCACAAAAGGATTCATCCCATCTAGTTAATTAACATATCGATCACCTCACACGCTCACCTTTTTTAGAGAGAGAACATTGAAGTCCTTAGAAAATTTCAATTATATAATACAGTGTTAACAAACGTAGCTACTGTGTTTTATTCAAGATCCTCAGACCTCATTTATCTTACCACTCAAAGTTTGCACCCTTTTACCAGCCTCTCCCTATTTCCTCCACCCCCCAGACCCTAGCAACCTTTTTTACCTTCTGTTTCTATGAGTTTGATTTTTTTTTTTTTTTTAAGATTTCACATATAAAGGATACCATGCAGTATTTCTCTGTCTGGCGTATTTCACTCAGCATAATGCCCTCGAGGTCTATCCATGTTATCACCAATGGCAGGATATCCCTCAGCTCTCTATATGTGCACCTAACATCTTCCTTATCCCTCCATCCATTGGTGGACACAGGTCGTTTTCATATCTTGGCTGTTGTGAATAATACAGCAGTGGACACAGGAGGGCAGGCATCTCTTTAATATCCTGTTCTCATTTCCTTTCGGGACATACCCAGAAGTGGGGTTGCACGATCCTATAGTAGTTCTGTTTTGAGAACCCTCCGTGTCTTTTTCCAGGTGAACTGATATGACTTCACTTATGCTTGGGTCGGGCTAATTAGAAATACATAAGGGATGAAAATACAGGATAAAACTCTAGGCACATTGTGAATAACAGATGTGCTTCTCATCAAAGTTCAAACAGTGGATGGAAAGCAAGACTCAGAGCCAAAATGTGGAAATGACCCAGGTGTCCATCAACAGATGGATCAACTAAATGTGGTATGTAAATATATATGTATATTATATTATTATTTTAAAAGGAACATGCAAAAATATGTATAAACACAGTGGATATTACGCATCCTTAAAAGGGAAAGAATTCTGACATGCTACAACAGGGATGAGGCTTGAGCACATTTTGTTGAATGAAACAAGTCAGAGACAAGTGGACACACACTGCATGATTACACTGGTGGGAGGCACCTGGAAGCAGCCATGTCCATAGAGACAGAAAGTCGGATGGTGGTTGCCAGGGGCTGGGGGAGGGGAGAACGGGGAGTTATTCCTTAATGGGTGCAGAGTTGCAGTTTCAGGGAAGATAAAAAAAGTTCTGGAGACGGATGGTGCTGATGGTAGCACAACAGCACAACACCTGTGTGCCTAGTGCCACTGGATTACACTGTTACAAATGGTTAAACTGGTAAATTTTGTTATGTTATTTTGCTACAGAAAAAAGAAAGAAAGAAAAGAAAAGAAAAGAAAAGAAAAGAAGGAAGGAAGGGAGAAAAGATAGAGAGAAAGAGAAAGGGAGGGAGGAGAGGGAGAGGAGGGAAGGGAAGGGGAAGGGGAAGGGAAGGTGAAAGGAAGGAAAGGGAAGGGAAAGGAAGGGAAGGGAAGGGAAGGGAAAGGAAGGGAAGGCAAGCTTCAGATGCCCCAGTGAAAAGCAGAGACTGCATTACTACATCTACCCTCTCATGTATCTCCCCACCTCCTCAATAAAACAGATTCTGTCCTGGAGATTTTCCCATTTAGTCTTTTTGTGCATGTGACATTTTCTTCATAGGATACACAAGCCGTAGTGAAATCTCTGGATCAAGAGTGATACACGTGCTCACAATCTGCAGACTAGAGCTGGTGAACTGCAATGGAGGGGTGAGTTTGGGGCGATACATAAGACTTCAGAAGCTACAGACACCATCAAAAGCGTGTGTGAGCACGTGTACAGCTTTCTATGATTTTAGGTCCCCAAAAAGTCTCTTGGGCTCAGTAGAGCATGCATGTCCCCCCAGCCCAAAGTCACGAACATAGTGTCAGTAAACATCGAGCACAGGAGCTCTGTCAAATTGAGCATTCTAAACTAACTTTTTAGCCTAACAAATCAATGTCCCTGGTACCTTCTTTACAGACCAATTTCACTCTCGCAAGGTCTTATCTTTCTGCTAAATGTCCTTGTTGGTTTCCTCCCTCTCCAGCTAGACTGCTCCCTGAAAGAGGAATAGAGGGGCGGGGAGAACCTGAGATTTTTCAAGTTCATCATGGAGGGAGCCCGGCACCTGCTGGAGAGTGGTCCAGACCCTGAAGGCCAGTTTTGGAGGACGGCCCAAGGCTGGGTCGGTGGCAGGAGATATCCTTCACCCCAATCTCCAGAGTGGACATCCATCTGGCAGTTACACGTGTTTTCCTTCAAACTGGTTGCTAGGCTGGAATGACCAATGACATCAGAGGCTTCTGACCTTCCTGATTGGAAGGACCAGACTCCGTAGCTCTTGGCAGCAGAGGTGGACAACAGCATCTCCTCAGCTCTTCTTCACTACTCGCTTTTCCCCCACTTGGAGAAGTGATAACGGGCTTGTGTTCAGCCAGAATCCAGAAGAGGAGTTTGAGCAGAACACGGTCTAAGTTTTCTAGAAGGGAAGAAAGAGTTTGGGAGAATTCATGGCCAGTTGTCAACGGTGTTCCCAGTCTGAGGACCAGAGCCCCGAGCTTGCCTCCTCAGGGTACCCCCTCGAGGTGATAGTGAATGAAATCCCTGGACCATCAGGTGAGGAAGTGGAAGGGAGAAGGGGAGTGAGAGGGTTGACAAGGAAAGAGCAAGGGGTACAGAAGTCAGGAAGGAGTGTCTGATTAGGGTTCATGAGACAGGAGAGATTCAGAGAGCCAGGGACTGGGGAAGGAAAGCACAGGAACTGGGGACGAGGATATCCTCATGGAAGGAAAACCGGGGGAAGGGGAGGCAAGGATGGAGGGTTAGGAAGTGAGATCCTAAAACGAAAGAAAGGAAGAGAGGAAATTATTCCACTATTCCATTATTCTAATGTGAGAAATTATCCATAATGAGGAAGAGTTTTGAGGACAGGGGGATGAAACAGTGGCAAAGATGAATGGGGGCAGATGGATAGCGACAAAGCAAAAAGGTGGAAAGACAGTTTGAGAGAGGCCCATAGTCTCCAAGGTCAGAGAGAATGAAGGGGAGGTGTGGGTTGAGGGGGGAGGAGCTTGGGTGACCAATGGCTGAATTCCAAAGACAGAAGCTCTATATTGTAGCCTGGTTTGTTCCCTCCGTCCCCTGGATAGACTCCCCCTCCTCGCCTTCCTCCTGTGGCTCGAAGAGGCAAAGAGAGGAGTCAGAGGAGGAGACATTCCCAGGGGCTGAGGACATCTGGTATGTGGAGACACTGTGTGGACTCAAGATGAAATTAAAGAGACAGCGGGTGTCTTCAGTGCTGCCTGAGCACCACGAGGTCTTCAACAGGCTGCTGGGTAGGAAGAGCACCCTCCAATCCTATCCCTTTTTTTTTTCTTAAAAAACAAGAAACTTCCAATGCCTACACTCTTCTAATGGAAAAGAATTCTCTGCTCGCTGCTGAGCTCTCCATCCTTGGAGGATTACATATTCATCCCTTATTGGGGACACTTAAAAATGGCAGAGGATTAGGTGACACTTGGAGACGGGTCTGTCCTTGGGAAAAGAAAGCTTGGTTTCAGTCATACCCCTGAGATAACTCAGCTCTTACTGGCCTTTGAATCTAAATGCCTTCATCTGTGTGAGGGGGCATGACAGGCCATCTCTATACCCTGATGTCACTGTCAAATGAGAAAGTGACGGTCAATGACTTTATGGTCTCTGCAGCGGCACATAATGATGACAGAGCATCACTGTTGACTTAATCCGAATCCTACATCTCTCTCGGCCACCCTGCAAGGGTTCTGCCATATTTTCTTGGCCAATGAGTGGTCTTCTCTCCCCTCTGCCCATCAGCCTCATCCTTGGCCAGAGTCTGCAGACCTCCCAGGGGAAGCATCGTTCTCTTCACTCTTGAATGTTCCCACACTAACCCTGTTCTGGTTCCCAAAGTAACACATGCCTTCTTTTCACAGAAGATCCTGTCATTAAAAGATTCCTGGCCTGGGACAAAAAACTAAGGGTATCTGACAAGGTATTGTTTGTCACTCTCCACTAAGATGCATTCCTTCTCCAAGATGTGTCCTGGGGGATGCCTTTTGAGCCCTCAGCTCTCCTTCTCTCTCCAGCCTGATGCTGCAAACAGTTCCCTTTTGGAGCTCATGGTTTCTTGCAGATCCTCTGGGATCTGAACCCCCGCTGTGGCTCTCTGACTGTTGTCACCTTAAGCCCCCTCTCCTCTCAGCTCCTGGGGGTGCCCTTTTGTTCCAGTGTATCAAAGACCCTCCTGATGCTGGCCATCCTACAGACAAGCCCCCGCAAACAGCAGACCAAGCTCCCCTGGGAGCACCAAAAACTCTTCCCTTGACTTCCTGAGTTTGCATCCAACCTACTGATAGCAAATAAGAAGATTCAGCTGACATGTGGGAGCACAAGCACCTGCTGAGGCCTTCCATCCCTGCCCCCACTCTTCTCCCTCCCCTGGGATGTGACCTCTCTCTTATGGCTTTTTTCCTCTCTCCATCAGTATCTCCTGTCCATGGTCATCGCCTACTTTAGCCGTGCTGGCCTCTTCTCCTGGCAGTACCAGCGAATTCATTTCTTCCTGGCACTGTGAGTATTTTGCCTCGTCCATCGACACCATTCAGTACCCTGGGAGGATGAGGGGCGAAGTGGGATTCTAACCTTCATCTATTTTTTAAGTTTATTTATTTATTTTGAGGGGGATGGAAGGCCAGAGAGAGAGGGGGAGAGAGAGAATCCCAAGCAGGCACCGCGCTGTCAGCACAGAGTCCACCCCAGGGCTCAAACTCACAGTCAATGAAAGCTTGACCTGTGCCAAAATCAAGAGTCAGACGCCTAACTGACTGAGCCACCCAGGTGCCCCTCATCTATTTTTTTTTAAACCTGTGTAACTGATTATCTTTTAACCTGTTTTTTCTTAACTGTTTAGTCTGTGTATAAAAAAGACAGGATTAGAGCATATTGTTTTTTACACTGTTCATTGTAAACACAAACAACATTAATGTCAGCTAAAAGATGGAAGAACAGAAAACATACAACCCTCTGAAGAGGAGGGAAGGAAAGAAGTGCACCGTCCTGGCCCACGCCAATAGAGAGGCAGCCAGTTCTGATCCTCGTCTGTGTCTTTTCCCAGGGCAATCCCAAGTGACATCATTGTCTTCCTCCTCTGCATTCCCAGCACAAATGCCTCTATTCAGGCCCTCAGGACTTAGCACAGACCTAGTGTAAATGCTCTCACTGCTGTCATACAAATCTGTCCCCAAGCCAGTGGGCATTAAGTGCCTAAAGTCCTTCCAAAGCACCGTTTTGCTTCATCTTCCAACTTCACCAGCCAGTGGTGTTCTTGGGCAAGGCCAGAGCTCCCAGTTTGGATCCAACCCTCTCCACCGTCTCCACCCAACCTGCCAAGTACCCTTCTCTCTGTTTCTATATTGTGTTTTCTGTCCAGGTGATTTTACACATGCACCTGAAGAAAATGGCCTGTCCTCAAAGTTGATTCCAACCCCCAAATCTTCAGATGCTCCCCTAACCTCCCTGATCTCGGTACTCTAGTAGTGCTTCTGTTAAAATCTTAATCTCATGGGGCACCTGGGTGGCTCAGGTCATGATCTCATGGTTCGTGAGTTTAAGCCCCACATCCGGCTCTGTGCTGTCATTGCAGGCCCTGCTTAGGATCCTCTGTACCTCCCTCTCTGCCCCTCCCCCACTCATGTTTTTTCCCCCTCTCTCACTCTAAAAAATAAATGAACATTAAAAAAACATTTTCAGGGAGCTGGTGTGCCTCAGTCAGTTAAGTGTCCGACTTTGGCTCAAGTCATGATCTCACGGTACATGAGTTCAAGCCCCACGTCAGGCTCTGTGCTGACAGCTCAGAACCCGGAGCCTGCAACCTGCTTCGGATTCTGTGTCTCCCTCTCCCTCTGCTCCTTCCCCACTCATTCTCTCTCTCTCTCTCCCATTCTCTCTCTCTCTCTGAAACAAACATTAAAAAAACATTTTCAAAAAACAATCCTAGTCTCATGGATATTTTGGACTATAGTTATTTTAAAAATTTTTTAATGTTTATTTTTGAGAGAGAGAGTGAAAGAGACAGAGAATGAGTGGGGAAGGGGCAGAGACAGACAGACAGAATCTGAAACAGGTTCCAGGCTCTGAGCTGTCAGCACAGACCCGAAGTGGGGCTCTACCTCACAAGCTGAGTTGTGAGAGCATTACCTGAGGCGAAGTCTGATGCTGAATTGACTGAGCCCCCTGGGCGCCCCTTGACTAAAGTTATTTCTTATCCGTCCTCCCACATCCCCTTCCCCAATCCCTAGATGGCTGTTGAAAGCAGGTCTTGTCAAAATACCTCCACTCTCTCCAAACACTCAATGCAGTACCTTACATTTTGCAAATGTTTAAGTTATTTTGAGCCTATGAGGTAATCAGTATTGCACTTGACCATGAAAGGAAGCATTCACTCATTCAATCGCTGAACAAAAACTTCCGAAGTGTATCTTACGTGCCAGGGACCATGAGGCGACGGAAAGAGGGATGGGAGAGAAGTGCATGTTGAATGAATGCACCTGCATGAACCAAGTCCTATATTAGTCAGATGGTAGGAAAGCCCATTTCTGCAGAAATAGAGCAGACTCAGCTCCTGCCTGCAGGAGAGATATATATATACATCCCTACTCCGCGGGGAGACAGGTGTGGGCACAGACATGTTGAAGGGAAAGGAGTGGGAGTGGGGCTGGGAAATGGGGTAGGACATGTCCTCTCACTTCCCTGCCGAGTTCGGTCTTGTCATCAAGGTGGGAGAAGTCTCTGCCCAGTAGTGCCTGCCTGGTGCCTGAGTAGCATTTGGGGACACTGGGTAGTGGGTAGCCTGTGTCCTTATTGGGAAGCTGAGGGATCCTTCCTGTCCTGCTCCTGACCAGCAACCTGACATCTCTCTCCAGCTACCTAGCCAATGATATGGAAGAGGATAACCAGGCCCCCAAACAGGCCATCTTTTCGTTCCTGTACGGGAAGAACCGCTCCCAGCGCCCTTTGTTCCACAAACTCCGATTCCAATTCATCCGATCCATGGGCTGGAAGACCAGGGTGACCCGGGAAGAGTGCGAGGAGGTGGGTGGACTGTGGGGATTTGGGTGGGGAGTGTCCCATGGGAGAGAGTGGGGATCACGGAGGAACACGGGATTTGGGATGAGAAAGAATGAGAGCCTGGATGGTGAGAGGGAGGGGGGCCTACCTGGAGGTTGTCTTCTCAGGCGGCTGTCTGTCTTCCAGATTCAGACTTTTGATCCAGAGCTATGGGTGTGGGGGCGAGATCGTACCCTCCTGCCCTAGGGTGCCCGGGACCATGGAGGCCTGAGGTCATCGGCCTGAGGGAAGGTAGGTCTGTCTTCAAAGGTAGAGGCACAATGTCTTATTGTCCATTTAGGAAATTGGAGGAATCCAATTGCTGGACCCATGCTCATTGGCCCCCCACCCCGCCCTACACATCAGCCTTCCACACACTGAAGTGGGGGCGGCCACACAGCCAGACGCTGACTCATGTCCCAGCCACAAGCCAACAGCCACACACAGGCATGACCTCAGGGAGACATTTGGGTGCCAGACCTCAGGAAAACCAGTTTGTAATGGAGGCAAGGACTTGGTTGAAACAACCGCATCCAAAGCAATTGAGCCTGGATGACAGCTTTGATGAATGTTGATTTTTTACGTGGAAAGTGAAAGTTCTCAATTCTTCCATATACTGTGCTTTGACCTTCTCTTTTTAATTAATTTTTGGCCTGCCATCCCTGAGAGATATTAACTACAGAGATTCATTTACAACAAAGTAAATGTCTAACAATACGATATTTGATGGAAACAGCCTACCTATCCAGTAATAAAAGAGAAATTATGACTAGCTAGGTCTTCATCCAAATTTGCTTTCGAGCAAGTTGCTGATGGCCAGACCACATGGGCATTCTTCACCTCACCTGGCCCGCTTCTGGAACAGTCTCCCATCTTATTCAGTTACATATTTCCTCTCAGGTTTATGGTCAAGGAAGACTATCAGAGTGAGTGAAGGTGAAGAAATACCAGTTTGGGCATGGCTTATTGTGATCGGCACATAGTTAAGATTTGGGGAGAGGATTAAGTGAAGATTTGGTTTGAATTGTGTGCACTAGCTCCCTTAGTCTGTTCAGGCTCCTATAACAAAGTACCAGAGATGAACAGCAGACATTTCTTTCTCACAGTTGAGGGGGCTGGGAAGCTGAGAGCAAGATGCCAGACTGTCTTCTGGGCTGCAGACTGCCACCTTCTCACTGTGTCCTCACACAGTGGAAAGGGAGAGCTAACTCACTGGGGTCTCTTTTATCAGGGCACTAATCTCATTCATGAGGTCCCCACCCATAACCTAATCATCTCCCAAAGGTTCTACCTCCCAACACCATCACCTTGTGGGTTAGGATCTCAACATGTGTTTGGGGGTGATACAGGCACTCAGGTCATTATAGCAATGACCAAATTTAGGACTAAGTGTTATGGTGAGGTGAAACATTAGAATCCAGGGTTTGAATGAGAGGTTAGGCATCTGGTCTTGTGGTTCATGATGCTGATGTGTTGGTGATGTTTGTAGTATGGTTATTAGTTCAGACTGTAAGGAGTACAAAAGGACCAAGGTAAACGTTGAGTCTAAAGCAACATTCTCTCCCACTTGTGTTACTCCCTGAGGAGAATCACCTAGAGTCCTGGCTATAATGCAGATAACTGGGCCTGACCTTCACCATAGTAAGAAATTTTTGGAGTCAGGGTCACCAAAGACCAAGAAGCATAATTGAAAATGAACTGAGGTTTAGAATGAAGGATTAGAGATAAAAATGAATTTATAAATTAGCCCAAACACTGATTACAATTGACTGGGAATGTGAATAATCTTTTCTATCTGGAGAGTTGCTTCCTTGCAATCAGATATCCTCTTTTTCTCTCAATTCCAGAGCCCAGAGGAGAGCAGGTTTTCAGCAGGAAGTCCATCCAGACGCTAACAACAGGCATGAGGAAGGAAGAGAGGAGTCTCTTGTGCAGATAATCTGGAAGAACCTAGAGTGTTCTAGAATGAGTTGAATAGAGTTATCATGCTGTACTCCTAGGAGCTGGGGATACATCTAGGAATCCACAGAAGGACAATGAGAAATCAGGGTTTTGTTTAGGGTCCCTCCCTTCCTAGGGCACCATCAAATCTTTCAGCTTGTGTAATTCGAATCTCCTCTGAGGTAGAAGTTGGAGGTCCAGTTTTTTTATGCACTGGGACACAGATTAGGAGGGAAGTACTTCAAAAACATAAAATTAGAGTGAAAGGATTGTGATAGGTAGCCTAACATATGCAATAAGTGATTTTAAAAGTCTTGCTCTTATAATGATTATATTTAGTTTTATATTTTATATTTATGTATTTATTTTAAATCGTTCTGAAATAGTCATATTTTTCAAAACATACTTTTCCTACAAAGTTTTGTGATGAGATTACAGGTGTTACATATATGTAAATATAATTTTGTTTACATTTTCAAGATGGGCTTTTGTTATTATATTTATATGTCAATTATACTTATAAGCAGGTGGGTAGCTCCCTCAAGTTCTTGAGTTCATGTAACTGTATATTTTTAATTAACATTTAGTTTTCATTATTCAATTGTGAGAATCTAGTTGTAAATTTTTAAGTGCCTTGATGACACATTTAGATGATCAAAGAGGATATCACAGTGCATCTCTTGGGGAAACATAATAAAAAGTCTTCTTACCTTCATGATGTTTGTAGTCTTCCCAAGTCAGTCTTACCTGTTTGCTGTCAAATGTTAACATTGCTTAATGGGGTTGTGATCGCTCAACCAAATTTCTTAACTCTGAAAAATTTTCACATGGAAAAAAGCAATAGAAGACAAGGCAAATTCTGAGCTAGCATCCTAAAGCAGGGAAACAAGGGGAAGATATTGAGGGAGGAAACAGGAAAGGAAGAAGAAAGTGCTATGGGGATCTAGGTAATAATATGATATTCACAATGAAGGCAAGGTGACTCAGCAAGACATCATTCCCGGAGACGGTCCATGGCAAGCACACTCACAGGTGCAAGGGAACACATGCAGTGTCCATTATTTTAATCATAGTGGGAGTCCTTTTCACAACCTCCAATTCCAGTTTTCTGTAAGAGGAAAATCTAGAGTGTGTGATAAAAAAGGAACAACTGAAAAGAAATGAAGGTTTTGCAGAAGTTTCTGAGAAGCACAAGAAGGTAGGAGGAGCTAAAGCTGTCAAATAAGACAGGCATGGAGAAGAAAGAGCTAATGACATGAATCCTGAATATTGGAGGAAACCATCTTGGGAAATGGTAGCACCAGAGAATATTGCGACTGTCCAAAATACCATGCTTCAGTGTCCTTAGGGTGCACCACCCTCCAGGCACATAGATGGATATCACCAGTCAGGAAGCTCACCTGGTCCTTGGTAACCAGAGTTTTTATTGGAGTTTCATTAAGCAAGTGTGATTAATTCTATCAGTGGCCATACATTGAACTCAATCTCCATTCCCCTTCCTTCCCCCAGAGACTGAGTTGATATCATGTGGCTAAAAGCACCAACCCTGATGTTCTTCCTGGTGTTGCTGGCCCCTTTCCTGAGTCACCCTGTTAGCATAAACTCAGTTTTGGTCCAAGGGGCCCATCATGAGTAACAGACACTCCTAGCATTCAGGAAATTCCAAAGATTTAGAGACTGTCTCCCAGGAACCAGGAAGAGGGACCAGATGAATTCTTTAAACAACATATTGGCCATGGTCAGGGGTCTGGCAGAACTCAGGTGGTCAGGGAAGGTACACATTTTAGGACAGATCTATCACAAAAGATAGTGGAGACATTGGAGAAATAAGGATTGAAATAATGGGGTGTTCACAGGGATGGATAGCTTAGGAGACATGAGAACTTTAGGAAATGAATGCAGCTCTCTCTATAGGAGCAGCTAATGACAGTGAACAACTGCGTAAAGATAGGCCAAAGAAAAAAAAGTGTGTGTGTGAGGGGGGGGGTGCAGTGCTGGTAAATGAGATCAGCTAATAAGCATGGAGCAATTTCAGAAAGTGAAATCACCAAGGCCAGAAGAGCCACAGGGACATCAGCATCGATTTACAGCTGTTCTAGGAGAGGGACAGCATTCAGACGTGGATGCAGTTGATGGACTGAGAGCAGCAGTGAGACTAGATTCAGCAGATGTGGAAACAAAGAGGAGAAACAGTCTGACAGGAGCAACTTGGAAACAGATATAACTCATAAGACACTTAGGAATTAAGATGCATATTTAAGAAGCTCTAGGCCTCTGCAGGATGGCAAGGGAGGGCAGATTAGGAAATAGGTAAAATGAAGAAAGAGCTGAATAGAGACACAGAAACAAGAAAATGGATTCAAACAATAAAGCAATAACAAACAGGCAAGAAAACAGATGGTCAGGCAACTGATGACAGGGTGAGAGTCGGGAGTTTTGGGGAAACAGCATGGGGCAGAGCACCATGGTTTCAGCCCAGACACCTAGGGAACCTGGGATTAGGACTGATCCAGTTGAAGAGAGGGGGAAGCCAATGCCTCTGAGAATGGAGTGAAGCTTAAGAGATTTGGAGGACAAAGAGATGGACCAGCTGAAAAAGTGGGAAAGGCAGGAGGCGACTGAAGACTGAGAAGGAATATGAATCTAGGGAGCTACTTGGAAATGTGAGCTGATGACAGAAGGATGTGTGACTCTCAGAGGTGGGAAAGTCAGGAACAAGTAGGAAAAGAGAGTCAGAAGAGTCAGAGCAGCTAGGCTATAGTGGCTGTGGCAGAAGGAACTGTCTCCGTGATCTAAGAGGATTTAAGACTCAGTAACAAACAAGGGGTGGTCGCTTTGTAACAAAACACTGAGAAAACTAGAGAGAAAAGTCCAGCAGGCAACTCAAGAGCGCGTCTCTGCAGCTCCTCCCAACCTCTCAGCTTTTTCGTTAACAAGCAGCCGTACATCCTTTGCAGCTATTCCCATCCTAGATGAGGTGGGGATTTCCGAGACGTCCCCTAACATGTGGGCGCTTAGACTTACGGGAAACAGAGTCCGGGTATTGGTCAGTTCCCGAGGTGGGCTCCGGGAGCGCAGCCGACATCGTCCTGCGCATGTGCAGCTCACCCAGTGTGCGTGTTCGCGCACGCGCAGTGCCGCTGCTCCGCTCTCGCTTCCTGTCCGTGCCCAGGTCACCGCTGGCCGTGGTTCCCAGGCTTCGGCCTCTGGCGGGCGAGGGTCCCGGGGCCTGCAGGGCTCCAGGCCGTCTGTCCGGGCAGACACCTAGCGGGCGCGGGGCTGTGCGGGCCGGGCGAAGACCCCCCGAGCGCGAGTCCCGGAGCCCGCGGGCTGGGCCAGAGGGGCCGGACGGCGGCGGCGCAGGGCGGCGAGATCGGGCCCGGCCCGTCTGCACCCGCGGCGGCCCGGCCGAGGCCCGCGGGACGGCGAGGCCCCGGTGGCCGATTCGGGCCCCAGGAGGGTCGTCGGCCCTAAGTGAGCTTGTCTCGGAGGCCCAGAGCCGGCTCCTGGAGAACGGCGGCCCCGGGAGGTGCAGGAGGAGCAGGGCCCGCCCCGCAGCCCTTGGGAGACTTGGGGCAGCTCGGCGTTTCCCGACGAGGTAGGTCGTGGGCTTTCGGGTCTCCAGGCAGTTGTAGATTTTGTGTGCTGCGCCGCAGGCCGAGGGCGCGATTGGGTGGCTAGGGAGGGGTGGGCGCTTCCCGGGACTCCTGGGGCTCAGGTTTCCTCGGGGCGCAGCGGGTCCCTTCATCCCTTGCTCCCCCAGTCGCCCTCTCCTGGCTTCCAAGCGCGTCTCTAAGCGCCCCTGGGCATCTGTGCTGTCTCCTCTTAAGTGCGTACTGACCGCGCTGGGCTCTGCCCTGTGGCATCCGACAGTGTAGTGCAGGATAAGTCTGCGAGGGTTTGCTGCTGCTTCTGCTGCCGCCGCCGCTGGGGTGACCGAGGAGGAGGCTGGGCCTGAGAAGGGGTGTGACGCTTCCAGGGTGACCCGGTCTCTGGGTGGAATTGTGGACGGGACTCAACTCCTGGTCCAGCGTGCTGTTCACTCTGTTACATTTTAAGTCAAAGTAAGTGTCTTAACTGAAGATCGTTTTGAGCAGCACGTTCAAATGCCTACAAATGATATTTGAAGACAGCCATGCAGGTGCACATCTCTTGACTCAGGCCATCCTGCCTCCTGTTCTGAAAGAGATGGTTAGAAAATAGATGACTGTTAACAGAATTTTTGTATCTTCTATTGAATGATGGAGGTTTATTTATTTCAATAGGATACAGTGTCCATTCATTAATGAGAAACATACCCACTCAGTGGCCACATAGTCAGGTGCCAGCTACAGACAGACAGGTGGGTGCCCCCTCCTTATTTTTCCAATTACTTCTGAAGATTTAAAGGGACAGTGCCCCACAGGTTTCTTTCATGGAACTTTCCAGGAGAGTACTTTCTTGGCAGTAGCGATCACAGCTTCATTGCTTCTCTTTTCTTTGCCCAGGTCTGCTCCCACTTTCACTGTCCTCCACGTTTTTCCAAGAGCAGCAGAAGATGAGTAGATCTGTGGTGAGTGTTTCTGTTTATGTATTCCCCACTTCCTTTTGTATTATCCTCTAGATGAATAGTTCAGATTTTAAAGGGGGAAGGTAGAGATAGAAAAGATATATGATTGAACAAAGCACGGAGTACCAGAATGGCAGCAAGCATCTCTGTCATGTTCACATGTATAGATAGCACGATCCTTCAGAGCCTTGAAAGCTGAAGTGCAGAGGCTCCTGGTCTGCTTGACATTCATTGAAAAAAATGACAAATGCCATTCCTTACTAGACACTGACCTGCCAAGAAAGTTTTGTTTTCTCTTGGGTTTTGCAGTTTCTTTGACCATCTCACTGTAATTGTGATCAGGCTCGCCTAAGCCATGGCTGTTGGTGCCGTACTTGTGCATCCTGTAAGCTGAGACATACTGGTCCAGGGAGCACCTAGTGCATATAATTTTTCTGGAAACTACAATATCGTCCCATAGATACATTGTTTTTACTGCTTGATCCAGGGGTAAAATGAGGATACTCTGGAGAAGTGGCTTTCTCACCCTCCAGTAAGTCTTGCTAAATATTTCTCTATGCCAGTCTATCTGGTGTGCATCTCAGACCTGTGCCATCATGTCTCTGGCAAAGATTGCTTAGTTTCCATTCACGTTTTCTCCTGCAACCTTGGTTCTGTCCCTGCCCATCCCCAGAACCTGCCCCAGGTTACCATGAGCTAACATACCAAGCTAGCGATTTGCAATGCTTGCCTTGGTCTGCTCTGCCGCCTTTCCCATCTACAGGGTCTGCTCTGTTGGTTCTGTGACAAATCTCTTCTGCTCTCTTCCTGACCGATTCTTCTGCCCTGTTCATGTGCTATTTTTTCCATCCCTGGCTCACGGCCTTTATACCTGTCTGACCTCTCCCTCCTGTATTCTGAATTGCCCACTCTGTCCGTTTTCCCATGTGGACCAGATGCCTCTGGCTGGCCACCTGCCAGTGTTTCCATGGGGGTTGTCCAAAGGATACCTCAGGTTAATAGTAATTATTTGTAGCCCAGTCTATGCCTTCTGCTCTTGTCCCTGACTCTTTGTTCCACTGTCCAGCCTGTCACTCAATCCAGAAAAATGGGATTCTTTCTAATCTCTTTCTCCATTCTGTTACCACATTCGCTCATTCCTATTGTTATATTCTTTTTTTGTTTGTTTTAGAGAAAAAGCGTGCACATGCTAACAAGGGAGAGGGGTAAAAGTGAGAGACGGGGTAGAGAAGGAGAGAGAGAGAGAATAAATATCCAGCAGGCTTCAGCCCAACATGGAGCTGAATCCCATAACCCTGGGATCATGACCTGAGCTGAAATCAAGAGTCAGACATTTGGAGCACTTGGGTGGCTCAGTCTGTTAAGCTTCTGACTTTAGCTCAGGTCATGATCTCACGGTTCATGGGTTCAATCCCTGCATTGGGCTTTGTGCTGACAGCTAGCTTAAAGCCTGGAACCTGTTTCAGATTCTGTGTCTCCCTCTCTCTCTGACCCTCCCCTGCTCTCTCTCTCTCTCTCATAAATAAATAAAACATTAAAACTTTTATTTTAAATTAATAAAATTAAAAAAAAAAAAGAGTCAAGACATTTAACCGGCTGAGCCACCAGGCGCCCCATAGTAGATCATTTTTAGAGTAGTTTAGCTTTATCTGAAAATTGAGCAGACAGTAAAGAGATCCAATCGACTCTTCCCTGTCTCAGTTTCCCCTGTTGTTAATATCTTACATTAGCCTGGTGCATTGTTTCAGTGGATGGGTCAGTGTTGATACATTATCTGAAGTCAAGAGTTGATGTTAGAGTTCACTCCTTGTGTTGTATGGTTCACGTTTTGACGTCCTTATGATGGCATATATCTGCCGTGACAGTATCCTACAGAACAGGTTTACTGCCCTGAAAGTTCCCTGGGTACCACCCGTTCATTGCTCCCTCCCCCAGTCTCTGGCAATTACCAGCCTCTCCGCTGTATGTATGGTTTTGCCCTTTCCAGGATGTCACGCACAGGTGACCCTTGCACAACACATGTCTGAACTGTTTGGGTTTACTTATCCATGGGTATTTTTCAACACGTACAGCATGATACCGTAAAGGTATCTTCCTCATGATTTTCTTTCTACGTTGTAAGAAAGCAGTATATCATTCGCATAATGTACAAACACATGTTAATTGACTGTTGAGGTTATTGGGAAGGCTTCCCATCAGCTGCACACTACTAGCAGTTAACTTGGGAGGAGTCCAAAGTCATACGTGGACTTCCAACTGTGGGTGGTGAGTGTCCCTCACCCCCGCATCGTTCAGGGGTCAGCTGCTGTTGGAGTCATACAGTCTGTAGCTTTTTCAGACTGGCCTCTTTCTGATTTTGCATGAAATGCCTGTTCCCATGCACTACCAGTCTTTCTGTCCCTATACGATCTCGTTTGTTGTTTTTCTTACTGACGTACAAAGGAGTTTTAAATGTTTTACATTTTGTCTGTTTGAATCATGTTAGTAAACATTTTCTTCTGAGCTTATTTATTTTTTACTTTATCTTCCAGCCTTACCATAGTGCCCTTTAATATCTTCATTTTGACGAATTGAATACTGTACATTTTTAAAATTTCTCGAAACAAGCACATTTGTGGGGGTAGGATTCCTGGTTCCAGAGCGCCCTCTGCAGTCAGCACTGGAGCCGCTGCTTTACTAGTGGGAGGAATTCGTGGTCTTGTGCTTTCTTTCTCTTTTCTGTGCATTCTTTGGGCCTCGGGCTGGTGTCCTGACTTCCGACTCCCAGAGGCCTTGCACATGTGAGGATTCCCTTTTCCTGGATTTTCAAGAGGATTCTGCCTCAGTGGGGACCCTCAGACTGCAGTCTTCTGGCCCCAGTAGGCTCTCACTGTTCTCTGTTGTTTGGACCCCAGCAATACATGTGAGCTCTGTGACATGCAGAGGTGGCTGTGACACACAAGGGCCCCTTTGTTAAAGTCCTTTTGCGCTCAGGTCTCTGTCTGAAACCCTCTGGGTGGATCTCTTTCTCTCTCAGTCTTTACTGATGGAATGCCAGTGCTGTACCCTTCTAGCCACTGCTGAAAGGAGCCTCAGAAAGGAAAGAAAACCTGTCCTCCCTCCCAAACAGCAGGGGACAGAGCAGCGCCGTCTGCATCGGAAACCTTCCAACAACATGGCAGATCAAGGTGTTCACGGGACGTTCTCACCCTCATGTCCAGTGATCTGGCTTGTGTGACAATCTGTAGCCAGCCCTGAGGTTTTTTTTTTTTAATTAAAAAAAATTTTTTAATAGTTTTTAAATTTATTTTCAAGATAGAGAGAGACAGAGCATGAGCGGGGGAGGGGTGGAGAGAGAGAGAGGGAGACACAGAATTTGAAACAGGCTCCAGGCTCTGAGCTGCCAGCACAGAACCCAGCACAGGGCTTGAACCCATGAACCGCAAGATCATGACCTGTGCTAAAGTCGGACACTTAACCGACCTAGCCACCCAGGCGCCCCACCAGCCCTGAGTTCTTGATCACAAGACCACCTCAGGAATACGAGCTGTACTGAGTGTTCTTTTAAGACATGAGGGTTGTTCTCTTTTGAAACTAACCTAAAATCCCTGAATATCTGCAGTTCTGGCCGGTTTCTTAATTTGTTAACCAGGTTTTCTGAACCCATTTTCCTTGAGTTTAAAATGCTTTTGTGTTGCTGCTTGCCTGAAGCCAGAGAAAGAATAATGTAGCTTTCTCTTTCTGCCTTTGCACTTAACCAAGAACTTGGGCAAGCTCCTCAGACCCATCAGCAAAGAAAAAAATCAGCTTGGAACATTCACAATAATGCTCTTTTTAAGCAGCAACACTGCATGTATTTTATGTGCATTACATGCAAAAACTATATTTTTTTCTTAATGTGCTTTTTCCTCCCCTTAGAAGGCCAAAATGCAGGCATTGAAAAGTCCCTGCAAATTGCACCTTTTGTGAAATTACAGTTGCAAGACCAGAAGTTAGAATAAGATGTACGTTGTTCTGTTTACTCATTAAAGTTAAACCACTTCTTTCGATCCCTTGCTCTTTTGCTTTTGGTAATAACTTTCTGCACGTGAACTTCTGGATGCTGATCTTCATGAGGGTGGCCACAGTTGTGACGGGAGGGGGTCTCAATGAAGGACAGACAGAGCTTCTGGAAGGCCTCCTTGCTGTTGCTGTCTAGGACTGTCTCCTCACGGACTGGGCCTGGGCAGTTCTGCACACAGATCAGTCTGGCCTGGGCAGGAGCCACTTCTTACAGCACCCTGTGGCCCGTCCGCAGCTGGTACTCGGACCTGAACACCTTTACCTGGCTCCCAGTGTCCCCACACCTGGAGCCTGGGAGAATAACAGGTTCAGGTGACCAGGTGGTCTCGGGGAATCTTGCCAGCAGGATGTGTCCTGCACTCTTCGATCGTTACATGTTAAGTATCTTAGATTAGTGAATGTCAGGAGTTTGCCATTCTCTCAAATGGTCCCCGTGCAGGACACGGCCTTTCCTTCCACACTGCTCCTTACATGCCTTGTCAGATTGCTGGAGCCTTTTTGTTTTTAATGTACTGGCACTGTTTTGTAATCCCTCCTTGGCAATTGCATAAATTTGACAGCCTTGTTGGCCTTAGTTGTTTAAACTTGTTTCTGTGTTTTCTGGTTAATTTTTGTCGTTATTTGGAAAGACTGATAAGATGCATAGTGGATAGTCAACAGTAACCTGAGTTGTCATTATGTCCAGAGTTAAGTGCTTTCCCATTTGATGCTGGTATCACGTTATATGACAGATACTGTTGTTACCTTTAATTTAGAGGTAGTGATACGGAGGGACAGTTGTAATGACTGGAGTATTTGAGTGGGGACAGTTTATTCAGAAAATCCACACTTAAAGCTTCAGCTTAGGCAGTCTCTGGGTCTGTTTGCCCCTCCTTGGGGCTGTGCTCCCCTGGATTGTGTGAATGGCCAGAAAGGGGATTCCTTCTGAGTTTCCCAGCTAGGAATTAGGGACAGCTGAACAAGCTCTTGCTGACAGTTCACATGGCAGCTGTGGTCAGGCCTGCTAGACATACTTTGCAATAAAATACACAACTAATGGGGTGCCTGGCAGCTTGGTTGGTTGAGTGTCTGACTCTTGGTTTTGGCTCAGGTCATGATCTCACGGTTCATGAGGTTGAGCCCCACATTGGGCTCTGCTTTGGAGCCTGCTTGGGATTCTCTCTCCCTCTCCCTCTGCTCTTCCCCTGCTCAATCGCTTTCTCTGTCTCTCAAAATTAAAAATTAAACAAAACATTTTTTAAAATCTTTAAAAAAATACACACAATGAGTGTGTGTTGCCTGGCTTCTTGCTTTGGCAGGGGTGGCAAATATCACAGATCAGCTCCTTCCATGCACAGTAGGAAGAGCCAGTTGAACAGGAACAGTGGGTGAATTTCAGGCTGTTGAGTTTGGATCTGGGACACATCTGACCTTTAGGAGAGAGGTCTGGCTGGTGGTAAACAATTGCGAAATGCCGACATACTCACAGCAGGATGCAGATAACAAAGTGTAAAGGACCAAAAACAGAGCCGCAGGCCCTCTAACTTCAAGATGTCTTGGAGAACAGGGGAGCCAGCAAAGGAAACAGAAAGGAGTCAGCGGGGCAGGTCAGAGGAGAGCCAACATCGGTAATGTTCTGGAAGCAAAAAGGAGAAGCAAAGTGCACCTTGCGTTTCTCTGAATGCCCCTCCGGCCTGTGGCCCTCAGGGGCAGAGGCTATGTGTGCTGGTCTTAGTGTCCCTAACCAGGACTTTCCTGACTCACAGCACAAGATGGTATTTTCTCTTTTTTGGTGAATACTGAATGTGTTCATCCTGGTGTATTTCTGATTTGTTTATTTTCTTTCCATGATAAAGGAGGTAACAGTGTTTGTAGTTCATTTGACCAGTGAGCTTGGTAAGCTCTTGTCCCCATATGCCTTCTCCACCTCATCCAGTTCCGATCACGGTGCCATTACAGGGGCCAGTGTCATTCAGGGATGTGGCCGTGGACTTCACCCAGGAGGAGTGGCAGCATCTGGACCCTGAGCAGAAGACCACCTACCGAGATGTGATGCTGGAGAACTACAGCCACCTCGTCTCTGTGGGTGAGGAGAGCCCGCTCTCTCGATTGCTAAGATACATGGGATTTCCTTCAGATGTACCAACTTTAACTTTGAATTTGATGGGACAGATGTGAGTGGTCTGTTTTGGGCACCAGGCAAGGCATTTGATCTTCACCTCCCCAGTGCAAGGCTCTAAATGTGGTGCAGCTCATAAGGCAGCACCGTCCTCAGACGACGAGAGACCCGGCAGCCCAGCAGCGAGGCTCAAGTTCTGTCTCATTTCTGTTAACAGGCTGTCACATTATCAAACCGGAAGTTATCATCAAGTTGGAGCAAGGAGAAGAGCCATGGATAGTGGAAGGAGAATTCCTACCACACAGTTACCCAGGTGTGTTAGTGCAGGCAGTGCGGAGACTGGTAACTTGGAAGTGTTTTTCCCCAGGAACCTCTCATGGTCCGGAGCCCGTAGAAGGGCCTACAGACAGTTGCGTGTGTGCTCTAGCTACCTGAGCCTCACTGCTGGAGCCTTCCTCCTTCCCCGAGAGAACTGTGTTTTCAGAGTGTTGCCATGCTTTGCCTCTCCCCCAAGCCTGCCCTCCGTGGCTCCCTTCTCCCCACTGAGCCTCGGGTCTAGCTTGCTCCACGACATTTGCATCTGCCCATTATCACGGCTTCTTTTGGTTTTTAGGCGTTTGTGTCTGTTAAAAAGTAACTGATATGACTCGTAGGTTTCTCACCACCTTCCTTTCTTCCTCTTTTCTGTGAGATGCCTCAGACAGGTCTCTGTCCCTGGTTTCCTGTCTCCCTTCTCTGAGGTCAGATTCCAAAGCTCCATCCTGTGCCTGAACCAGTGAGTTTGGTGCACCGTGGAGCACCTGGGTGCGAGATCCAGCCCTTTCTGAGTTGGGTGACAGTAGCGTCTGGGCCCCCTGCCCGCCCATCTTGTCCCTTACTCACCGCAGTGTCCTGTCCTAGCGGGCACTCAGTGAGTGTGATGCACGGGAGTGAGTTAGGATTCCCTTCCTTCCATCCTCCAGAAATGTCTCTGAAAGCTCCGCTTCCACCTTAATTGGGTTCTGCTTCCTGAGCTCTTCAAAGGGTCCCTCCTCCTCCCATTATTAGGGTTGTTGTTTGCCTGTTTGTTTTTTGCTTTACCATCCCTGTCCTCCTGTCCACTCTCCTGTGGTAGCAGCCCAGCGGTCCCTCATGCTACATACACTTGCAGGATGGTGTTCCTGGAAGTTTACAGTTGACCTTCTCACTGGTCTCCCAGGATGAGCCTTCGGGGGTTTCCCTGCTGCTTCCAAAAGGGAGTGTAAATTCCTCATCTTCCCTGTGCTGCCTGGAAAATTAATTTTCAGTGCTTTCCCAGAACTCTTGCTAAATTCCACTGGGTCCTCACTCCTAAATGTCTTCTGTTCATGGGGTTATTGTCCATTTCGCTTTAATTCAGAGAGGAGTGTTTGCCAGATAACAGCACATTCTTCCAGATAACTGAGCACAGGGCTCAGGTTTTCCGCCTCTCCTTGAAGCTTGTCCTTCCAGCTCTTATTATTCCAGTCTTTTCCTTCTCTCAAGATGACTCCACCTCAGGGCCATATCTTGAAAAAAGTTAGGTCTGATCAAGTAATCTTACTTGATAGTATATATATTTTGCTTTAGCTTCTTTTTTCCCAAATTATAACCCGGTAAAGAAAAGAGCATGTTCTCCTTTGCCATGGTATGTAATGTGTAGTCCACATTGAGTGTCTTTGGAGCCCAGTAGGTGAAAACTTTCTTATCTGTCTATTGAGAAATAATTGATAAACAGTGCTAAATATTCATGCTTGGGTCACATCCCCATGTATTCTGCAGGTGCTTGAAAGCAACAGCTCTGATTTCAATTCAGGGGTTCAAAGGAAATAGGGAATAGAGTCATACTTTCTAATAGACAGGATTTGGTTAGGAAAAGAGAAGAGAGTTGCATGGTATAATTTACAGCTCAGCATTTCAGGGGCACCTGACTGACTCCGTTGGTAGAGCACGCAACTCTTGATCTCAGGTTCATGAGTTCAAGCCCCACCTTGGGCACAGAGCCTCCTTAAAAGAAACAGACCCTTAGCATTTCATATGGAATGTTGGTGTTCCCAGGCAAGGCTGAACCGCTGTGCTAAAGCCATTCTGTGGAGAGTACTTATTTCCAGCTTTAAGGGGAAATGGAGCTAATTGAGCTGAGAAAGGATTTGAGATGGTTTTATTTGTTTGTTTTATAAAAAAAAATTTTTTTTAAGCATTTTTGAGAGATAGAGACAGTGTGAGCAGGAGAGGGGCAGAGAGAAGGAGACACAGAATCCGAACCAGGCTCCAGGCTCTGAGCTGTCAGCACAGAGTCTCATGCGGGTCTCAAACCCACAACCCATGAGATCATGACCTGAGCTGATGTCAGGCGCTTACCTGACTGAGCCACCCAGATGCCCCATTGTTTGTTTTTTTAAAGCATGGAACTCTCTGAAAGATAGGTTTTGAGTAGACCAAGGCTGGAAGCCAAGCAAACTGAGTGAAGCAATAGGAGCGGAGACTTGTGGTTGAAAGTAAGCTGGGCATTGTTGGCCCCACGGCAATCTCAGAAGCCCACGGTGCCTCAGACTGTGAGGGTCTCTCCCAACTTTCTGTGAAGTGGTGTGGGGCCAAGTGCTGGGCCCCCTCCCCCACTCCCCACTCCCACCTTGGAAGGATCACCTGACACTCCTTGCCTAACAAATAGCTTGGTTTTCCTAGAGCAGAAATTCTTCTTCATAGGCTCATATAAACCCAGTTTGGAATCACACTGTGAGTCCAGGTGAAAAGTATTCTTTGTCAGACTTTTCCTCCCTTTTATCTGTCGATGTTTTGGCAGTGCACTCAGGAAGCTGTAGGTTTTGGAGGACAAGGCTGGTACGATTTTATCTGATGTGGATGACAGCAAGCATGGTAGTCAAGTTCATCCAAAAACTTGTTAAGTAAAAATAAAGGTCACTGTTTTAGGAGCAGTTTGAGGAATCTGATTTTTAAGGTTTGTAAATGAAAAGAAAGCCAAATGAAGCTCAGGAGTGATGAAGCCTCTGCACGTTCAGAGTTAAGGGGCAGTATGGGATGTCAAGAGGCGAGACTAGTTTACGGGAATTGCCAGGAGACCGAGAATGGGAAAAATAGTTGCTAAACTCACAGAGCACGTGTTTTGTGCCAAATGCTGCTCTGAGCACTTTATGAATTTATGTAATCCCACAGCAGCCCGGTACCACTGTCTCACCAGTGGATGGCCCTGAGTCACAGGCGACTTATGTACTTGTTGCAGGTCATCCAACGAGAGTGCATGCTGCACCATGCAAATAGAAATAAATAGAGTTTCATGGTTCGAATGAGTTCAGTTTAAATCATAGTATCAATAGAATATTTACAAAATCTTAAACTTCTGAAGGGCTGGCTGCTCTGGTCTATTTTATACTTCCTGTTGGACATACAGAGTTCCCGAGACTCTCCTTTCAAGTGAAACAGAATCACAGGGCCGTTCCTCTTAAACATGAGGAGGTTTGGGTACACGCTGAATTGGGCCTACTATGTGGAAACTGAAACAAAGGCAAAGTAATGTGGAAGGATCAAGGCTGGTCAAAACGCTGGTCACAAAAATCTCAGTAAAAGCGATGGTGCCTGAGACTGTGATCATCTCCCCCAACTTGATGGGAAACGGTGTGGCTCAAAGTGCTGGGCTCCTCCCGCTCCCCTGCTGCCTCCTGGGGCACCTGTGCACCCCTGCTTGCCTGATAGCACTCCTTGTTCATCCTCGTTTGCTGTGAGCCCTTTCATGTCTACCTGTCAGCTACTCATCCACCATCCCTTGTCTTCCTGTCAGCGCTCCGTGTTTACATTTTACCTTCTCTGCCCAGCTTTGAACAAACCCTTATAAAGCAGCAAAGATCAAAGGTGCTTGCATTTGTCTCCTTTCCTCACCTCGGAGGTGTGTATGTGTGTGTTTGTGTGTGTGTACATGTGTATGTGTGCATACATGCATGTTTTTATCCCAAACTGTAACAGTAGGGAAAAGATACTCTTGGAATTATTTTCATCTGCCCGTGGAGCTGGCATCTACACCACGATGAAATGCTTGCATGTAAATCACATTCCATATCTTAATGTAGGAAGATACACAAAATTTTGTTAATTTTGCCTCTTTTTAGAAGAAGTCCAGAAAGCTGATGATCTGGTTGAAAGAGTCCAGGAGAATGAAGGCAAACATTCAAGGCAAGCTATATCCATCAAAAAAACCCTGACTGAAGAGAGAGGTAATGGTCTTGGTAAGACTTTTAATGTGGAAACGAACCCCATTCCTTCAAAGAAAATGTCCTATAAATGTGGCTCATGTGAAAAGAGTTTGAAGTCCGTTTCAGAATATATTAGTAGCGACGGCAGCTATGCAAGAATGAAGCCTGACGAATGTGGTGCGTGTGGGAAACCGCTTCCCCACGTGAAGCTTGAGAAAACTCATCCAGGAGACGAACCTTATGAATTTAATCAAAGTAGGGAAGCTTACAGTCTAAATGAAGAAAAAATTTATCAGAACATTCATATTTTGGAGAAACCCTTTGAATATATTGAATGCCAGAAAGCCTTTCAGAAGGATCCAGTTTTTGGTAATCATATGGAGGAGAAGCCCTATAAGTGGAATGAATCCGAAATAGCCTTTCTCCAAATGTCCAACCTCGGTGTACACCAGGGGTCTCACATGGAAATGAAGCCCTACGAATGCAGTGCATGTGGGAAATCCTTCTGTAAAAAGTCCAAGTTTATCATACATCAGAGGACTCACACAGGAGAGAAACCTTATGAATGTAATCAGTGTGGGAAATCCTTCTGCCAGAAGGGAACCCTCACTGTCCATCAGCGCACACACACTGGGGAGAAGCCCTACGAATGTAACGAATGTGGGAAAACCTTCTATCAGAAGTTGCACCTCATTCAGCATCAGAGAACTCACTCAGGAGAGAAGCCCTACGAATGTAGTTACTGTGGGAAATCCTTCTGCCAGAAGACCCACCTCACACAACACCAGAGAACACATTCAGGAGAGAGACCCTATGTCTGTCACGACTGTGGGAAAACCTTCTCCCAGAAGTCAGCACTGAACGACCACCAGAAGATTCACACGGGCGTGAAACTCTATAAGTGTAATGAGTGCGGGAAGTGCTTCTGCCGCAAGTCTACTCTCACCACACACCAGCGCACACACACCGGTGAGAAGCCCTATGAATGTAATGAGTGTGGGAAGTTCTTCTCTCGGCTGTCCTATCTCACTGTGCACTACCGGACTCACTCTGGAGAGAAGCCCTACGAATGTAATGAGTGCGGGAAGACCTTCTACCTGAACTCCGCCCTCATGCGGCATCAGCGGGTGCACACCGGGGAGAAGCCCTACGAATGTAACGAGTGCGGGAAGCTCTTCTCTCAACTGTCGTACCTCACCATCCACCATAGGACTCACTCAGGAGTGAAGCCCTATGAATGTAACGAGTGCGGGAAGACCTTCTACCAGAACTCGGCCCTTTGCAGGCACCGGAGAATCCATAAAGGAGAGAAGCCCTACGAGTGTTACATATGTGGGAAGTTCTTCTCTCAGATGTCGTACCTCACCATCCACCATCGGATCCATTCAGGAGAGAAGCCGTACGAATGTAACGAGTGTGGGAAGACCTTCTGCCAGAATTCAGCCCTTAATAGGCATCAGAGGACACACACGGGAGAGAAAGCCTATGAGTGTTACGAATGTGGCAAGTTCTTCTCCCAGATGTCCTATCTCACTATCCACCATCGCATCCATTCGGGAGAGAAGCCCTTTGAATGTAATGAATGTGGAAAAGCCTTCTCTCGGATGTCCTACCTCACCGTGCACTACAGGACTCATTCCGGAGAGAAGCCCTATGAATGTAACGAGTGTGGGAAAAAGTTCTACCACAAGTCCGCCTTCAATAGCCATCAAAGAATTCACAGGAGAGGGAATGTGAACGTACTGGATGTGGGAAGGCTTCTCTGAAGCCCAAGAACCTTCTCAGTGTGGTGAGTGGACAGCTCCAGCCACCGTCCGTCAGAGCTCACACGGTGACGCACACAAATGAACCTTTGTGTTAGTCATACTTGAAACCTGAGAGTTCACAGGGTAGAGACCACCGTTGTAACAAGACCACAGGACTCACCATTGTAACAAGACCACAGGACTCATCAGATTCCAGACTGTACGGGAGTAAACGTTTATAAATATTTAGAATGTGTATGAACTTCACCGTGAACTCAAACTGTTTTACATATCAGGGAATTCATACCAAGGGAAAATCTCTCAATTTAAGGAAAGTGGAACACCTAGTCCTTTGAAAATTATTAGTATTAAATGTTGTTTCTGATGTAGTACCAAGCTCCTTGGGACTTGAATAGCTGTTGTGAGTAAAGATACTTGTGTAAATAGAAGCTGTCAAATCGGCAGGTAGCGATCAAGACCGCAGCATTGCAACCTGATGCTCATATGCGAGTGTTCCTGGGAATGTAGGACTTAACGTTTTTGAGGGGTTTTGGTCTGTCCACTTGTTTTTAGGATGCTACATTACAGGCATTGTATGTTCATTTGAATCATGTTTGAAAAGCCATTGTATCTTTAGTAGAATAATTTGTAAGACATGATAAGATTACCCATTTAAACCGCTCCACCATGTTTAGTATCCTAATACTGTCACTGAACTCCCATCTGATCGTGTGTGCACTACATTCTTTCTCCTGCTCTGCTCTTCCCTGTCAGTGAACTCAATCGTCTATAAAGAACCTAATGTTTTTATAATGTGTTCAACCTTATCTGAGTCAGCAAGAGATTGAAATCTATGCATAAAATAGAAAACTATATAATTTTGAGTTGTTAATCCCAGAAGTTTCCAGTAATAAGTTTCCTATAGCACTCATTGCACTCTGTACAGTTAAACAGGACTTAGAATACTTCCATCTGTACTAATTTTTCCACCTGCTTTATTTTGTTTTATTTTAGTGTGGATGCCTACATAAGTGTAAGTGTGCAGAGCACACATACTGTGTAACTTAAGAATTATCTGTATTTTTATTTGGTGTAATAGTGTTTTTAAATATCGTGTTCTACTCCTTCCTGAATGAATGAAGAACTCTTCATACGGGTTTGTGGCAGACTTTGGTGAACGACACTAGTCCCTCACTCCTTACTGTTTGCTGGCAGAGTTTGGGTATCCATTCCTCTCCATGGAATGAAGGGTAAATCCTGACTAGTTTCAATTCATGATAATCCTTTTCTCATTGCCAGCTATTGGTTTAGAGTGGTCACGGGACCCAGTTCTGTTCAGATGAACAAAGGAGATATCTGACAGGTTATCTCTGGAAAACATTCCTTCAAAGATTCAAGGAATGAATCAAGCAGGGTGAAGTAGAGTCTTCTGTGGAACGTTGCCTTCTCTGCATGGGATGCCTGGTTGTGTCTTTCAAATGTGGATTATAATTTAAGCATGGCAGAGCAGAAAGATTGGAAGGACCTGGGACCTGGACGATGATACTGAGTCACTGAACCGACCGGCCATGTAGCTGTGCCACTTCTGGACTGCCTCTTCTATAGTCGACTAAATTTATGTTTAAGCCAGTTGATTTTGGTTGCTCTGTTAGCCATACTGAAGATACAAAGTTATACTCTTTGTAGGAATTATGCAATTGAGAAGTGGACTTGAGGTAAATCATCTATTTAGAAGTAAGTACTGATAGAGAGCTTTATGTTAACTTTCTATAAATTTGGATGTAAATAATTTGAGCACTACAAGTCAACTTGAAACAATTAAATGTAGATGTCTCCTTGAATTTTTACATCATTGACCTAAGAGCCTTTAGAACCTGATACAGTGTCAGATATACCTTCCTTTATACAATGCATGGCAGATTTTGTTTAGGTTAATTTGTGTTATCCATGGATCATCACTATAGTGTGTTTGCAGTATAGGTGTTGAGGGTAAGGACCTTTGCTTTCCGGTGATTAGCTGGATAGCCTCTATTTGCATAATTGACCCCTTACCGCTGAGGTGAAATGCCATATTTTTCATGTATTTCAATCCCTCATGGCATCTGTTTTTGTTGCTTAGCACTTTCCCTCCATATTCTTCTGGATGATCGTGAGTATGCTACATAGCAGGAATGAGAAGTCTGGTAGGTTGTATAGTTTTGTATAGGAAAATATACTTAAGGTGTATTTGTGGAAATGGTACCTACAAAGAATTTCCCACAGTCATTTGTCATTATAGCTTTAAATACACAGTATGCATTTTAAGTAAAACATTCAAAAGTTTCAATGGTTTACCACATTCTTTGTCTCTTATGTAGTGCCTGTGCGTAAAAGGGCCTTACATGTAAGTGGTCCCTAACTGCCTTTCTGATGATGGAGTAGAGTGACCTGTCCAGTTTCAAACATGTCGGTGTCCTTGTATTATTACATCTCTGAACGTAAGATCAGTGGCATGTTCATTAATGCCACTGTTTTTCTTCTTCCCTAGAGGCATGTGAAACAATGTGGTTTGTCTTTGACTTGATGGAATACAATATCTGAAAAGTTTTTCACTGTTCCTGGCAAGTGTGTAAGGTAACACATGCCCAAGTTCATGAAAGAAAGCACTAGAGGGACTTCAGCCTCCCTATCCTAAAGCAAGGACTGAACATGGACTTGGGGCAGAGCAGGAGTTCCTGTATGTTGTACACAGTGACCTCATAATTTGGGGTGTGACCAGATTATGAACTCTGAGGGGGGATTTTCAGGGGCTGAGCAGAAGGAAGGCCCTTCCTGGCAGGTGGACACATGACATTCCCCCAATATTTTGTCTCATCCTCAAGTCAGTGAAGTGGTGGCTCATCAACTGCTTCTTACTTAGGTCCAAATGAAGACGTAGTTTTAACACCAGGGCCCTGTCCCCTCAGAGGCCCCAGAGTCGTCTGCTTCTTTGTTCCACATCAATAAGCCTGGCTGCACTGTCCAGTCAGGCCCCCCAGAGAAGACTGTACAGTCCACAGGTTGTAGCCCAGGTAACTGCCAGCTTTATAGAAGGCCTGCACTTAAAACAAGGAAATTCCTTTTCCTTCTCATCACAGGGATGACTGCATCACAGGTTGTTTTTCTCATCCCTGAATTTAAAGTCTGTGATTCCTGCCAAACTGTTGAAACTAGCATGGGCTGTCAACCTGTTTCCTGAGTCCAAGTCTGGGATGCCATTGAAGCCAGAGTGGTTCGTGGGTCCCGGGACTGCAGGGGGTACACTGGGGGCAGATGGCTTTCTGCAGGGAGCTTTGAGCAGCCAGAGACCGTAGGGAGGCAAGCGCTGAAGGGAATGCAGGGAATATCATCTTTTTCCACGCTACACTGCTTTCTACTGTAGTGTCCCAAGCACTTATTGCCCGCCAAGGTCCTTTGCGAGGCAGAAAGCAGGTGCGTCAGCTCCATCCAGTGAGGTAAGGGCTGGAGGCAATGGACATGGTGCGAGATGGAGCATTCTCTCCTCACTCCACAGTCACGTCACTACAGGAAGTAGGCACGGTTTTCTGGATGTAGGAGGACCTTTTGGTGATCATGTAACGTGCCGAGAGGGGGTTTCTCCTAGTTGGAGGTGGGCTTTCTCTTCTTTTAACACATACATCTGCTGTGGCCACACTGAGGAGCAGGAATGGGGATTAGACCTTCCGTCAGCAGAGATTTGTGGATAACTCAGCAAGAAAAAATGCTGCCAGAAGACCTGAAGGAGTTTACCAAGAGAACACCACACGTCTCCAGCACGGGCAGGCATGATGGGATGTGGAAATCCAGACTTCAAAATGGTCTTACTAGACATCCTTTAAGAACAGTATATTAGTTACATGAAGCAGGAACAGTTACCCCAAAAGAGGTGGGGGGAAGGAGAAAGGGCATCAATAATTGGCATGAAGTAAATACTTCACTAGATGAGTTTAATTGCAGAGCAGAGACAGCCACAAAGTCAGTTAGTGGGCTGTGTGGTAACAGCAAATGATTTCACCCTGGACACCAGGAAGAGGATGCAATGTGAAAAATCAAACACTGAGACAGAGAGGACGGTAGACATAATACCCACATCCTGGGGTTCTCAAAAAGACAAGATGAAAATCCATGAATTTAAAATTTCTCAATTTAAAAAAGAATGAAATTAAGAGAGTTTTGTGATGCCAAATGGAAAGAAGCAGAAAATCTCAGGTCTGTAAAGCAAAACATTGCTTTGACCTAAGACCAATACCTAGAGTAGATGACATCCAGTAAAGTGACAAGAAAAGGCGGCGCATCCACAAGAAGGGCTAGGATGGTGCTTGGAGTCCTCAGTCATTAGAATGCGCGAGTTAAAACAAGTTACACTGATCAGAATGGAATAAATGACAGCAACATAAAATAAATATGGGTAAGGTTGTGAATGGTGATTGGTAATATTTGTAGCAGGATAAACTGACCGGAAATACCTTTTATAATTCATGTGTGTGGGGGCACTAAGGTGGCTCAGTCAGTTGAGCATCTGACTCTTGATTTCAGCTCAGGTCATGATCGCATGGTTTGTGAGTCAGAGCCCCGCATCAGGCTCTGCACCGACAGCCCCTCTCCTGCTTGCACACACACTCTCTGTGCAGCTAACAAAGTTATGGAACTTTTCTCTCTCTCAAAATAAACATTTAATAAAAATAAAGATCTTTAAAATTAATGTGTGTGCCTTCTCATGCAGTGGCACTTGCTAATATGCTTCTCTATCCCCGAGAAATTCTGTACACACACATGGATGCATACACAGGGAATTCTGTCAATGGAATGAGACATCCCAGGTCACTAGAAGAGGTAAGTAAAATGCAGATCAAGCAGTGCATAAAACATGAAATATAAAACCTAAAACACTTGATAAAACAATATGAATTTTAAAAATAGAATGGGATTTCTGTAACTAAATATTTGTTAATGTCACACACAACACACACACACCCTTACATACGTTACAATGGAATGTGCTTAAGGTCATAAATTGACTGTGTGAATGGCTGTACAAGAAGGGAACAGAATCAGAGTTTGAAACGAAGAGAAAAATCAGGCAAAGAATGGCCTCCACGCATAAACCAAGACTGAAAATAAATGTTTTGAACCGAGTGGTATGATTAACACTGTTCCCCGGGACTCCCCAGAAACGTTAAAACACAAAGGACCTGAGAAGTAAAAATCCTCAGTGTTTTATGCTTTTCCGTTTTAGCCAGAGTTTCACAGCCCAGGTGCCTAAATGACATCTGTGTCTTTTCTGGCAACTTCAAGCCAACTTCCAGTAATGTGGTTGTGGCTGCTCCATTTGTTGGTCCCTCTGTACTTTTTTTTTTTTTTAAAGTAGGCTCCATGCCCAAGTGGGGCTTGAACTCACAACCCTGAGATCAACAGTAGCATGCCTTACTGAGCAGCTGGTGTCTCTGTCACTCTGTACTTTTAAACCTTCCTAGGATGAAGGAGCCCCCAGCCAGGAGTATCTGCATCATGTCACAGAGTCATTTTGTGGGACAGACAGCACTGCTCAGGCACCAGGGTCCCCCCTTCCACCCAGTTTCAGCTTCACACCTCCCTGCAGATCTGAGTCCCCAGCTTCGCCCAGCGATGGTCAGGTGACTGTCTTTAGGTCCACGGGATGCAAGCTGAGGACTGTGTCATCTTGTAAGTCACATTCTAAGAGTACTGTTCTCCGCTGCCTCTTCCCCCCTCCCTTGGCTGTGACAGCACCATGGTGACAAGGGTAACACTTGAGGGCAGGGCTCCACCTACTGGGTCTGGAAACGGCCAGGAAACACTTCAGGCTTTGTGGGCAGGGCCTCTCGAAGCCACTCAGCACAGCCTCCATGTGTGACAGCGCCCACACAGCCTATGGGGGTGGCCTGGCCGTGTCCCAGTAAACCTCTATGTAGAGACAAAAATTTCAATTTCGTAGAATTTCACATGCCATAAAATATTACTTTGATTTTCTAAAAAAACTACTGACAAATGTAAAATCCAGTCTTGGCTTACAGGCTGCACCAGAAGCAGCAGGCCAGATGTCGCCTGTGAACTGTACCTTGCTGACACCTCTTTAGGGGATGGAAAAATAACAAGATAAAGGGGACCCTTCTCTCTGAAGAACATCCCGGACGGGGTCTATCCTATCTCCCTGGACCGCCTGCCTGGTAATTTAGAATTGTACACGAGATCTCAATCTTCTATCTTAGCAGCCAATCCAACACCGATACAGAATCAGCCAACAAAAAAACGAACCACAGTCATTTCTAAACTGCAACATATGTGTTCTTCCCAAACCTAGTGGTACACTAATGACTTAAGTCACAGGAAGCAAGTAAGGGGCAGCCCACTCCAAACCCATGTAATATAACAAGAGTCCTAGCAGAATCTGTAGCAATCCTAATAAAAGACGCTATTAAGTTCCTGATAAAATATGTATCTCTATCTTAAGAATAATGTGTGCTCAGATCTTGATTTCTAAATATTACTGTTTAGAGTAGTAGTTTATTCCAAGACTGATTAGGAAAAATAAATGCACAGAACATGTATCTCTACTAGTAAACAGGAATGCTCAGGAACTGATCAGAAGGTATGGCAGTGAGGAGGGAAATGGAGGGCTCTGCCCACCCCCAAGTAGGAACAACTAAGGAGCTGGCATCTTCTGCAGAACTCTAGAACCTGGTCCAAAACTTCCAAGCATGAGGGCAGGCTTGGTGAGGAAGGGGTGCAGCTGTGCAGCCAGAGAGAGCTGACTCTCCTGCCTACCTACCATACCCCGCCCCCTGCACCTCAGTTCAGCTGCCAAATGGGTAACAGCCTGCATTCCAGGCCAGGTGGCAAATTATAAACCTTGTTCTCAAACAGCTGAGGAGTGGGCTTCACCTGCTGGTCCATGGTGTGTAGGAGGGTTTTGAGGGGCATCCCCTCGTTTCTTGGACCCACACCGGTCACGGGGCTGGGCAGCCTCTCAGACGGCTCATGCCAAAATCATTTAAAGGCACCCGTCCCAGCTGTAGCCAGCTGGGGGAAGGAATGAGTCAAGGTGAGCAGCAAACAGACACCTGGGAAGGAAGAGGTTGGAAAAGGAGAGATGTATGGGAATATGGGCTTCTAGAAGAAAGGAGAGTGTTATTTTTCCTCTTTTTTCCCCCCCACCTCTTTTTTTTTATTCTTTCTTCAGTTCAGTTGTTTTAAGAAAACTTCTAGAAGTTTCCATGTGGGCCAGGAAATGACGTGTGCCCAGGGAGGGACACAGGCTTAGAAAAGGTCAAGAAGTCCCTAGGCTCTCGCCATGGATGGGCCTGCGGGCTCCACAGAAACTGTAAGTGAAGGCTGAGGCTGAAGTGAAGGCGCACTTGATACAGAGAAGACTGGGAAAGCGTTATTTTTCCTCTTTCTTTTTCCCCCACTTTTCTTTTTTTTTTAATTTTTTCAGTTTCAGATGTTTTAAGGAAACTCGGAGGAAAACACCCCTGAGTTAATGGATCAGAGAACAGTGGCTGCACATGGCAAAGAATACACACCTACTGAAACAGGAAAGTCAAGAAAAGAGCACAAGAAACAACAAAAACTCTGGGGTGAGGAGGAAATCTGATTTCCAGAGTTGCCACATCATATTTAAAATGTCCAGTTTTGGAGTGCCTGGGTGGCTCAGTCGGTTAAGCATCTGAATTAGGCTCAGGTCATGATCTCACCGTTCACAGGCTCAAGCCCTGCATCGGGCTCTGTGCTGGAGCCTACTTGGGTTTCTGTGGGTCTCTCTCTCTACCCCTCCCCTGTCTGCTCCTGCACTTTCTCTCTCAAAAATAAACATTAAAAAATGTCCAGTTTTCAGCAAATAATTATAAAACATGCAAAGAAACGAAGTATGGCCTACTCACAGGAACGAGAAATTAACAAGCTATCATAATGATTCCTCCATCTCTGGCCACTGGGGACGGTCCCAGCCAGCTGGATCAAGAGTGTGCCACTCTTGGTGGAAAGCTATTTGAGACTACATTTAAACACAAACTCAGAACCACAAAGGCTTGGGAGAGGAGCCTGGTAAGTCCACTTGGGAGGCCATCCTTAAGAACAAATGTGGGAAAAGCCAAGAGAGATTTGAAAACTAGAATGAAGAGAGAGGTGCTTTTCAACACATGGCAAAACATTGCAGAGAAGGAGCAATGAAAACATGGCTTTGTTCAAGACAATTCTAAAAGAGAAAGACAAACAAGCCCAGAATCAGAGTACTTACAAGCTGGGAGTTAGGACTGACTACAAATAGGAGAAAACCCTACATAACCGGCTGGCTGGCAGCTCCCACATCCAAACCAGACAACCACTGGCCTGCGATGCCTACCAAAGCTCAAGTGGGCACCCCCCTCGACTCTCATTGGCCTTAGATTAGGCGTCCATCCCAGGAACAATTAAACAGCCCGAAGGGCAGGTGCTGTGGCTGGCCCGCCAGGGAATGTGCCGGCTCTGGGCCATGAGTTTCCCATTCTGGAAGGATGTGGGGAAGAGCACTGAGCAGACAAAAAGGAAAACCACTGCAAATGATCATTTAATCCATGATAAAGACAGTATTTCAACCCAGGGACAAAACGACGGATGGTGTAAAGACAACTGGCAAGTCATCAGGAAAACAAAAATCAGACACATCAAGCCACATCTTGTCAAGAAAAATGGAAACAGATCAATGAATGATTCATTTTCTTAGATTGTTTCACATAAAGAGAAAGAATACTTAATATGTAATGGGGTTGCAAAAAGAAATTTCCTATGCTCTATTTCTTTCAGACAAGAATTAACAGTACTTCATCATTGCATGGAAATGTATAGGGCACAGGGCAGTCACTGAATCCTTTTCTCAAAAGAAATCATTCTTGCTCCCAAATTCCTGTATCTAACACTTCTGAATTACAGAATTTAATATATATATATATATATATATATATATATATATATATATTTATACCTCTGCAATGTTAGCATGCCTTATAGCTCCAAGGAACAGAAAAATCTCAACTCCAACAGGTGTAAGGAATGTTAATGACCTCCACCTTCCTGGTATAGAGTGGCTTCCAAGCTGGTGAATTCCCCATTCCGTGTGCTCCCTGCCCGCGGTTCTGCCCTCCCTCAGCTCACAACCCTGACCTCCAGCCCTGGGTCACAAGATGCGATCAACGGGTTTCCAGATGGACAACGCCATTCTGCTCCTGATTTTTCATTAATGAAGAATCACCCTGAATACTTCCCTAAACATCCTGCTGGCCAGTATTTGGTCATACTCTCAGCCCCAAACCACCTCTGGTGAGGGAGGAAAACCAGGCCACATCAAGGCACTGCCACGAGGAAGGGCAGAGCAGCTGCCGACCTGCTGCATGGACACTGGGCCAGAAAGGAGACAAGGACCAG